TTCAATAATTTGCGTTAACAAGACATTATAACCTTAATTTATTTTATTGCTTTATGTGAGAAATTGTCAAAAGGGCAGATGATTGATGTTAAGAGAAGACCACCACATTTGGACATGTATAACATCTGAGATGCAAACGCGTAGACAAGTTTTAAAAATTATGTCACACAAACGAACTACTATCAGCTTACATTAACTGCTATATTCTATTAGGCATAGTCATGAAATAACCCAAAGGCTGATTTAGCTACTAACAGACAGTGTCCATTGTATCGCTTTGCAACGTCGTACCGCTGCAAACTTTCTACGAACATAGTTTCACTGCACATAATCAAGATATCAGTTTCCAACGAGCGGTCGCGTCTACACGCTTCGTCTGCTGCGACGTATGCTATGAACAGATGTTATAAATCACGTAATATGTCTGTCACTGTCTTCAAGGAATATTTTTTTATCTTTGACATACTTTCCAACAGCATCTATCAATAGCGACCTTTAAACTGGAGAGTTCTAATCCGGAATAAAAAAAAACGGTCAAGTGCGAGTCAGATTCGCGCACGAAGTGTTCCGTACCATTATCTATAGAAACGGCAAAAATCGTGTCTGTTGTATGAGAGTCACAATTAATTTTTGTATTCTGTTTTTAGTATTTGTTGTAATAGCGGCAACAGAAATACATCATCTGTGAAAATATCAACTGTCTAACTATCATGATTCATGAGATATAGCCTGGTGACATGCAGAAAGACAGACAGACAATCAGCGGAATCTTAGTAATAGAGTCTCGTTTTACCCTATGGGTACGGAACGTCTAATCCGCAGTGGGTCCGCGTGGCCGACTATGCCCTAATACCCCCTGTATAGACGAGGCCTTTGAGAAGCAGTCGGACATATATAGGATGTTACTTTACATCACTATGCATATCGTCCAACAAACGGTCCCCTCACGGTTTATTGACAAGAAATAGTTGCATTAACTCGTTGAGTAAGACGAACCTTTGAGTGAGGAAGTAATCGGTTCTCTTGTAACCAGTTCCAAAAGTAAGCCATGAATACAAATCAATAAAAATGTAATATCTTTTTCATATGAAAAATGACTCTTAAATGACATAAATGACTTTTTGAAGTGTTATTCTTATCAAAGATTATGTGGGACACGACAGGTGTTAAAAAGCCAAGGCACTAGGATTACTGTCTTTGATATTATATAATAAGGTGTTATATGTTATATTATATAATTATTAAGTTATTCTTTTTTAAGCGAGAAGATTCAAAGCTCGCGGTTCACCTGATGTTAAGTGACCGCCCCCCATGGACATTTGCAACACCCGTAGGGTTGCACAGCCGTTGATTTCAATCCGACAATAACTTTTAAATAAGTAAAAAAACGAATTATGAAACTACCTGAAGACACACAAAAAATTTCATTAAAATCCGTCCAGCCGTTTAGGAGGAGTTTAGTGACATACACACATACAGAAGAATTATATATATATATATATATATACAGAAGCGTAATATTAAACTAGTTTTAATTTATAGTTTATGGGCATCAGATTACATAAAAAAGTTTTAACCTTACATTGAAAATGTTGGCAACCTTTATTTAATGCCATCTGCGTCGGCCTTAGTTGAATTGTAAAACAGAAATTTCGACAATGGGCTTAAAATAATGCTCATCAATGAATCAGAGCGGCGATAAAGCCGAATTTGCATTATGTTTTACATATTCAATGTGGAACGTGTGAAATAAACGTAAAACAGTACAACTTGTGTTTAAATAAGCCGTTTAAAAAATATGAAATAATTCTTTGTCGGTTAATCGTAACCCTGCTTAAATGCCGTCATTAATTTGGCGGTTAGTTTTCTTCTCAACACACGATAAGATGAGAAAATCGACGTATACAATAGACGTCGAGATTTTCGTCGGTGTGGCAATCAACTGTTTAGTTGGGCACCAATCCCGAAGACGGGGGTTCGATTCCCTAAGCGGCGAAACATTTTTCGACCTTTTCCTACAAACTTAACCCTCGCAAAGTTCACCCTGCAACCCGAACTTTACATACTTGAATTTTTTAATATGTATCAGATTCGCCAATGATTTTCACTTAAGTGCACGGTACTTTTAGCACTCAAAGATATAACATTTATAATCTTTTTATCGCTTGTAAAATACATTGCTCTTACTTTAGCATTACATTATGCTGTGTTATAAGGACGTTTCACAAACATAAATTTCACTTGGACAATCACCCAGATGCGAAACAACTATCTGTGGGTCACACAAGTAGTTTTCGCTTGTGGGGATCGAACCCACGACCACACTGAAGCCTTGACTAAGCCGTCACTACCTTGACGACTGCGCCACGGAGTCATCAAGTGTCGGTTAATGTTTATAACATTTCGATTGTCACCGGGAATCGAAGTCAGGTTGCCCGGGCCGTATTTGACGACGAGCACGGAAAGCCCTTCCGGGCTACGCAATTTGCAATACAAAGTCTCAATTCTCATTCGAACGGCCACCGCCCCAACAATCGCTTACTTTGCGACAAAGCGGCGTAAGCCCGCCGAAGTCGCGATCGTTAACGTCCCCCGTTTCCTCGCCATTTATTGAATGAACAAATAAAATCTCCATTTCAATGTACAATTAAGCGGGCAACTCAGGACGGTACAACGGGCGAGTTGCCTTATATAAATATTGGCCCGGAAAGTTTCGCGCAATCTGGAAAGGAATGCGGCGTATTATTAAAGGTCATCGGAGGGCGCAAAGGGCGAAGAGTTTTGTAAGGTTTTATTGCGCTTATTGTGTTTATTCCGAGAAATCGTTCGCGTTTCACGGAAATATTGATAAAGTTTCGTCGTCTCTTTCGAATCGTGTTGAATCAATGAATACCACTGGAAACATTAAGCATTTTTAGATTTAAAATTAAATGTGAAATAGTCTAGCCACGGCCAACAAGTTAACAGCAGGTGTATATAAAAATACCAAAACACGACAATTATTAAACCTTAGATTAACGATTTTATTATTATTTGTTGAGAACAGTTAGAGGATAGTTAAGTTGCAACTCATATACAGCGTGTCTTTACAATCACGACAATAAATGAACACACATAATTATAGAGGATAACTTTTTAAAATTGTATTAAGCATTTACGTTCTTTAAACATCAATATTTACAGTTATTAAATTTTCCAAAACAAAGAATTTTAGAACACACTTACGTATAAAACTGTAACATAAAGATCATTTGCATAGGTCACAAAGCATATGAATTTAAAAGAGAGAAAACATATTGTTAGAAGGAGAGGCTCGTAATGCGACGCTGTGCCAACGAATGAAAAAATCTCTGAATGTATGAATCAATCAGTTGTAGTTGTATAGGATGTTACAAATTTTGTTTCTTTTTTACTTAATTAGTTGTTTGAAAAATATTTGTTTTTTTAATTATGCATTTTTTTTAATGTTAATATTCTTTATGATTATTGGCCAGTAGCGTTAGACCTGTGTTCATTTATTGTCGCGATGGTAACGACACGCTGTATGTATAACACAGCGTTTTTTCATTCTGATTTAATGGGCTAAATTCAGTTGTTCATTAATAATGCTTTATTGTGAGTAGAGTATGAAGAGAATATGAAGAAGTGGGAATAATATATAGATAATAGACGTTCAATTTCGAACGATTTCATAATATAAAGAATGGATTCTCTAACTTATTACTAGTTACTTTACGTACTAGGTACTTTTATTAGTTGCTAACATCAAATTTTCATTTTTTCGTAGAAAGACGTTATTCTACAAATTTCTTCCATTGTACTACTCAAACCAATTATTAAATATGCTACTTCTGAAAGTATTAAAAAACGAATCAAGTTAACTCATAATGTTACTATCTTATCTATGTACACGTATTTAAAGTTCGTTACACTAATTCAGACTCGGCATTCATCAAATTTAATAGTATTTTGCATACCACGGCTTTTACAATTTCTTTTAACGAAGCTAGGAAAATGTGTAAAGCTTGGGATTAAGACGTTAGTCACAGCTAATTTACTTTTCATGAATAACAAATTGATACGTTTTTACATCCACGCACAAGAACTTATTTAAGTCTAAACACGGAAAACATCTTCAATTTGGTTTTTGTATAATATGTTTTAAAGTCTTTAATTTGTCGTTTTATCATAATAAATAATTTTCATATTAACGCAGGCGAATGGTACTTTAATTTGAATTCCAATAAATTCCAATTCATAGGCTTTGCTAACCACGATTGTATAAAAGTTTTTGATTTTAAGCGAGAATAAAAAATTAATCCAAGAAAAAATGTAGCATCTCTTCAATTAATTTATAGTTAGTTGTTGGTTTTTTCTACTCATTTTTATTCAATTATTTACATTGTAAATTGTACTTAGTTATGTTAGTAACATAAATCAAAAATAACCAGCTATGAGAAGCTAGATGCAAGTAATGACGATGCCCTTTACCGTAGAACTTATTATTTTTGGCACATCGAATGCAGACTTATAAAGGGGAAACAATAAGTTTATTGAATTACAAATCTTACAATGGAGCTGCCAATTTGTGCCGTAGCTTGCGTTCAAACATGTGTCTTTAACTTGAATGAAGGTCAATCGACAATCATGGGAAGTTTCAAATGGTATAAGAAAACCTATGAATAAGCAGTGCTAAATTATCGTATGACGATCTAGAGGCTACGACGGCGAGCTGAAAAGTGTATAATGTTGTACAGAAAATATTAAAATACATCCATTAAATAAAATTTATTTCAATTACTTGCTTAGTCGTTTAAATGTTTTAGGAAAATAGGGATGTGTTGAAGTTTCATGCTGTATTAATCACTATATTAATTCTTTAACTCAATAAAATAAAAGAAAACTATTTCATCAAAAAATGTCATAATTCCATAAAAATATAATTTAATTAAAAAATTTTATTACCTGAATTGTTTACATTCTTTGTTTTTTTTTTACAGACAATGAAGCTGACATTACTCGCAGCGATAGTCGTGCTTGTATCTACATCTGACGGAGCAGTAGATGTAGAAAGAACAGTACAGCAAGTTCAAAGTATATTGAAAACGAATTCTCTGCTGCCAAGACTAACACGTGATGAGATATTACAACTTCTACATGATATAAGGGCAGAGGACGCAATTAACAATTTTTCGACAAAACTTCAAAATAAAGATACCAAAAATGAAAAATTCTTTGACAATCCAGAAAATAAATCGAAATTAATTACTGCCGAATCAGAAACTACAGAAAATATAACTCAGAACATCATTACTTCGACTCCAAAATCAACGGAAGCCTTTGAAAGCACGACAAAAAGCGGATCTAAACTAGCTGTTGTATTGCCGTATACACCAAGAGATGGATCATCTTTACAGGAACTGTATACCAGACCACCGCGTGTTGAAATAGTTCCAGAAATAAAAGTAACAAAGAAACCAGTTAATACCCTGAAGTCAAACGCTAATAGTAACAATAGGTTACGTGACTTTAACAAAGAAGATTTTCCAGCAGAGCTTCAAGCATTTTTGGATGCACACGGATTAAAAGGGGCACCGGGTCAGGATAACTTCTTGCTGCCGCTTGACGGGTTCAAACCATTGCCTCCAGCCAAAGTTATTGACGGCTCCGTCGAATTGCCGGAGAGCATATTACTTGCTTATGATCTAATATCGCCATCAGATAGCAAACCGTCGTCAACGAAGAATAAAGTTGCCACTGAAAACAGTTTCTTGTACGAGCCATTACCACCCGAATATCCCTTTGAACTAGACACATCCTCATCGGAAACCAAGAACTCTGTTCTTCCGTATGATTTGCCTAAACCGAGAAAGACAAAGTCGGTTACGCCAACACCTAATTATGAGCCCGTAGATTACGATTCTGTTAAAGTTATACCATTGAATAAAGGCCCAAGTCCTATAGATGATGAGAAGGTAATTTTCGCTGAACGCTTGAACGCTGAACTAAACAAAAGGCAAACTAACGATACAAATGATAGTCATGCAAGCAATATAACTAGCACTACAGAGGAATCTACCACTGTTGCGAGTGAAGTTAAGGACACAGCTGCTGCGGACAATGATCCCGGAGCATCCATCGCTGATCTTGAAGATTCATTTGGTGGAGCAGCCCCGGTAGAACCTGGAGACTCCGTACTGCCCCCGCCCCGAAAGAACGGCTTTTACTGGATGCTCGACTGGAACAGTTTCCTTGAAGTCGGTGATGGCGACACTAAGGTTAACATACGTTTCGAACCCAAATTGGGAGATCCACAAATGTTTCTCCCTGTTAACGTTCCGTGAGGTAGATTTGTGATGTTCTGTGTAGGTATCTAGTCTAGCCGGTTCTAAGGAGGCTTTTCGGAAGTTAAATTTATGTTATTACCGTTACTATATTTATGATGAAATTATAGAAATTAAATAACCTGATAAATTTGAGAAATCATCATAACTTTTACAAAGTAATTTTTAAAAGATTGATTTTTTTATGTACAATGTAAGATCAGATTAGCGTTACTGAAACTCAAGTGCGTCAAGTAGGTAGATCAATTTAGGTCCGAGGAAAAGGGGTTACTTTTCTAAATAGTGATAATGGTCGTATTAATTTATGAGGTAAACCAAAAAGTTTTTTTAATGGGTTTATAATGATTTTATATTATTAAACTTAAGTGAAATAAGGAGTTTATCATTTTACCATTGTCAAATAATCAACATATTCCCTTCTTTAAATAAGATTTCTGTATTTACTGTTTCGAAGACATTTTTGCATGTAGCAACTGCTTAAGGGCATTACCATTTGTTGTTTACCTATACACCGTATTCCCTATAATATCCTGAAAGGGTCAAATTTCCCTTTCGGGAAACGAACCAATTAGTACCAGCGATTTGGCTTATTGAAAGTGAATACAGTAATTAAAAACTTTCTTTCAACAACAAATACCGATTTCGTTTTTATAGTGGAATGTGAATGACTTATACACTGCAAGAGAAGCATGTAGTTTACAATGCGATGTAAGTAGACAGACAAGACGCATCGGTAAGTTTGGCGACCATATTATTTTTTTCATGCTATTGGGTTATGTTTTGTTGACACACATAAATCAGCACTTGTTTAGTCACTACTCGTATATAAGATAACACTTATATGGGAGATTGTGAAGTTTTGCAATAAAAATATCCTCGTGAGATTTTCAAATAACAGATTTAGTGGCGCATTGGCACAGGCACCGGGGGTCGTGGGTTTCGATCCCCACTCAGGAGAAGTATTTGTGTCACTCATTGATAATTGTTCCGGATTCAGGTGTTTATTCCCAAGGAGAGTTGACGTCAGGCAGGCGGCCGGTCCTAAAAAACCTAGCTATACCTTTAACAAAATTATTCACATATTATACCGACCACACCTAGGGTAGGAGAATGAAGATTCAGAAGTTGGCTGCATTCTATTATTTGAAGACAAAAATTCATATACACATTATTTGATAGCGTTAATTAAATAGTACACGCTGAATTGCTACATGTTTATGGACCATTTAATTCCAGCCTCGCCACTTGATTGGCAATTACCATTTGTGTAGTGGTGGTTGTGATAACTAGTTTGAAGCTAATCTAATGTGACGGTGCCTCGAGAGGGATTCCATCGGAAGTTGAGCGTGTAACTGACGTAGTGTAATCAAAGTTTCAGATACAGCACTCCGAGGCGCACTACTCTGAGCCTTTGTGATTACACCCTCCAGTTGGAGAGTTATGAAATTCGTTTATGCTCTCAAATTTTACACCTTACACGCTACATAAAACGACTTCTAATATTACGTAATAAAACTGCTAAACGGATTTTATTTTGTTGCACCTCTGTTACCATGTAGTGTGCGTCCCGCTAAAAGATTTACTTTAAACGACATCCTGATTATTTTATATTGGCTGTAAACGGCGACTTAAAAATTGACATATTTTATAAATTCGAATATCATATGGATGAAGTAATAAAATTTTATTATATATAATTTAACTAATAAGTTTACACAGGTTTAAATTTAACTTACGAGTCATAACTTATACTAGGGCAGTTTATCATTTGTGCACTATATTCTATTCGATATTCATGCAGTGTGTGTTTATTGAAATGTTCTAATCGAAACAAAAGAAGGCCTTAAATACAATTCAAGTGTAAACTTGCCTGCGCATTATTATTTTACTTAATAATAAACATTTATCTAAATTTTATTTAATATTTAGATTATTCAATTATTTCTAAAGATACCAAGGTGCAATATTTTTGTGTTTTTTTTTTTAATAGGCATTATTTAAGCGAATATAAAAAGATTCTAAACAAAGCGCTATCAAAAATCCACTAAGTCCACACGATGTTGATGTAACACGCGAAATTAACAGTTTACAGAGCGCCTGTTGGTTAAAATTCGGCAATAAATCTCATATAGAAGAAATTTTATAGAAGTAGATACTCGTATTATACATCGGCAAAAATTAATAATGTCCATCATCATTACAAGTGCTTATAATTTTATGTGTTCTCTAAGTTAATCAGCCTTTTACAAAATCCCACTTTCCCCAAAAATTCGAGATCATTCACGACGCCAATATTTCGAAACGTTGGGAAATTAAAAACAAAAATAAAATCGTAAATTAAATTATTTACCCATGTGCAGTATTTGCGTAAATATAAGAAAACATTATTCGTTTTTTTTTTTTTTTATGGGAATAGGATGGAGCATGCGGGTCACCTGGTGATAAGCGATCACCGCAGCCCATGGACACTTGCAACATCGATTGAGTCGCAATTGCGGCTCTCTTCTTGAAGGACCCTAAGTCGTATCGGTCTGGAAATACCGCTGGCGACAACTCGTTCCACATTTTTACCGTCTCTAATGTTGAACTTCTTAAATACATCTATAGCAAATAATCTATAGATGTATTTTATTTTATGTGAAAAGTTGCCAAACGAACAGACGGTTCCCCTGTTGTTAAGTGAATACCGGCGCCCATAGACATCTGCTACACCCGAGGGTTTACAGATGCGTTGACAACCTTTTTGGAAATTGGGCTCCGGCTACCTCACTCACCAGACGAAACGCTAAAGTATTTGTCATACTTCCACTTTACGCCGGTCTTCTGTGAGGTCGTGGTATTTACCCGGACGAGCCTGCCCAATCGTGCAACGGCCGAGGCTGCTGCGTGGCTCTACCACCGTATGTTGTATAAAGTATAAAGGTAATTATGAATTTAACTATTCATTGTTTACTTAAATTACATGCAAACTTCAATTTTCTAATGTGCATATACAACTCTAAATCGCTTAAGCTCATTGAGTAAGTCCCGATATAGTTCCTAGATAGGTGATACAAATACAGTTATAACAATTAAAACGTGCTTGCAATTAAAAATAAGATATCTAAGATTACGAAATGTTGCACAGTAACTGCATAATTTATCAGGAAAGCTTGAACCATTAGCAAAGTTTGTTACTGAGCTGTAAAATAATAGAGTCGAAGTTGACAGTTTAACTGTGCAGAATTATCTGACTATCTCAAAGCATTTAGGCCACAATGAATACACTTCCGAGAATACCTTTCGTATTCCAGTAAATTAAGGTAATATTGCAATGGTATTAAAAAGCAGAGCTAACATTGAAAAATACTATTCATTGAAATGGGTATGGCAAAATTTGGTATTGTCTTGCATTCTGAATTTTTGCAATTTCAATTCGAACATTTTATAAAAACTTCACTACTCAATTAAACACACTGATCTGTCTTCTGCTTATCTTGGTTTGATAATAATGAATGCAGGAATGCATCAAAAACCAGTTATGCCTACTAAAATTTATTGCGGTTTCTAAGGATCATTTAAGAGGAGAATTTAATTCATAAAGAAAAACCGACAATTCACTGATGGCAAATCTTAGGATTTCATTTACTAAGTTAAAACTTTAAATGTGTTTACTCAAAAGTATATAATATTAGCTTAAATGTCACGAATCATAATCGTCGATAATGATGCTTATCACTCTGGAAACTTGTGAATGTAACAAAACTACTGATAACAGATTAGCAATGCATGAATGATTAAGTTACGATATACAATAAAACAATGGTCATAATATCATTTCATTCTGAGTCAACTGCTGAACGTACTCGTATCCGATAGATGGCGGGCTAACCATCACGACCCACCAGGGTCGTGATGGTTAGCCCGCCATCTATATTACACTTAATAACTTTTAACAATAACTTGCAGCAGCGTTTAATTTGCAAGAGAAATGTAATGGATCCAAAAATATTTTACTTATAACAACTTTTAAATTATTATCTCGCATAATTCGCGATTATAATAAAGTAACTAAGCCAGTAGAAATTGATGTGGACGTCAAAATTATTCGATCTTCAAAGACAGAATAACGAGTATATACTTCATAATACACTGGAGCTATTATATTTCGTCTTCAGTTTTATTTCGTCTGCGTTTTGTATTTCAAAAAGGAAAATTCAAACATTTTAATTTTATTTATCGTATATTGCAGACATACAAAACTACCAAACAGGCTACACCAATTCGATAGTGTATATATAAATATAAATATAATTTAAATTACTCTTTATTTCGATTATATTTATAAATAATTAAAACTCTTTTTTAAGAACCTATTTTATTCAAAGTCAAAGTCGAAGTTAAAACTTCTTTATTCAACTTAGGCTTATTTTAAGCTCTTATTGAACGTCAAAAACTAACACCGGTTCACTAAACTAGACCTGCCAGAGAAGAACCGGCAAGAAACTCTGCGGTCATATTACTTTGAATTATTTAAGTATATACAAAAAAGCATTTAAGAATAAAATTATCAGCAGCCAGGGGCGAGGGATATTATAAAGGACGAATTATTTATCATACGAAATGGAAGCAAACATGGCTTTTAGGTATTCAATTAACTAGAATGGATCCCGTTTATTAAATGACAGCCAAAAAGAAAAAGCGATCGAATTCGCATACTTACGTTACAATTACATAGAATTTGTGTGGGTGGCTAATGAAAATTTGCTCTCTGCGGCGTTATAATTTCAAGACAATCTGCGTAGACGAGATAAAGTCGGATTTTACGAGCGCGTATAAAACAAGACATCTCATACAATAAACTTAACCTGATTTCCAGAGAACGTATGTATGAAGGCAGCTATAATTTACACATTGTCCTTAGAAAATCTTTTGTAACTTGCATATCTCCGTAACGACCTTCCGCATATTGTTTAAATAATGGATCGATCAAAACATATCTTGTTCAATATCTGTCC